CAGTCTATAGCCAGCTTTAGTTGCCAATAAAGACAACCTTATTGGACAGTGGAATGGCACATGGTGGACCCTAGCCATGAAATCAGAGATGGACAGTCACTATTACCAAAGTAAAACTAAATCAGAGGGGGTACAGAAGAAGCGTTTTGGCTGATAAAGGTAATAACAGACATCTCATGATATTTGTTCTTGGGCAGGGCTTTTGAAAGTTTTAAAATGGAGTACAGGTTGATTATAAACATGTTGTCATCAAAGTGTATTAAGTTGTCATCAGGGGCGTAACTAGAAATCACAGGGCCCCATAGCAAAATTTTGTATGGGGCCCCGTGATTTGTAGTTATACCCCTTGCAGAGCCCACTCGAGATCCCACCTGAGGGCGACCCGGCAGAGCCCACCATAGACTCTCTATGGTGGGCTCTGCCGGGTCACCCTCAGGTAGGCTGGTCGCACTCCTTACCTGTCCGCATCCTCTTCGTCCATGGTCGCTGATGGGCCCTGCCTCCTTCTTTGTCACCGGGCCCCACCTCCTCCCCTGCTGCCGACCACGGGCCTCACCTCCTCCTCCACTTCTGGGCCCAGCCTGCTCCACCGCCGCTGCTGGCTCTCATTGACTCTGTGGAGAGGAACGCGCTGCTGCACAGATTACTGTCAGTGATCTGAACAGCGGCGTGTTTGTCTTCAGCCACCAGTGAAAGCCACCAGCAGAGGATCCCATAGCGACCCAGGCGGCCCCACTGTGCCCCTGGCCTCATAGCGGCCGCCTGGGTCACTATGGTGATTGTTACGCCACTGGTTGTCATAATAAAAAGGAAAACGTGTCAGGTTCTGAACACACGCACACTTTCTTTGTTCTTCTCCCATATCTGTTCTGTAATTTAAACCTACCTTGAACGACGGACGACATATCACGGTAGAGAACTCTGGCCATTGATCAACCAAGACCTCTAGTTTAAATTGGTTGTCAGTGATTGCATGATGCAGAGCTCCATATGCCTAAACAATAAGACACAATGAGATAAATCGCACAGCTAACATGCTCAGGGGTAGTTACGCTTTAGGAGGACACCCCTGACCCACCTTCAGTGACTCTGGAAAGCTGCAAGCTAAAACTTTCCTCAGAATGGCAAGTTTTGAGGGGCAAGTCAGGACAAGCATTCTGTGAAAAGAAAAGTACATGTAAAAGCAGAGGAAGGCTGGTATAGAGGCAATAAGGGGGTAAATGTATATGGATAAGTGTGCAGCGCTTGGGGTCACCGATGGGTGATCCAAAACTATCAAGTTGTAGAATCTGTGTTATTTAATCAAAGTGTAGGTGTTTATAGCCTTAAGTGCATATTCTGCTACCATACCCTAGTGGTAGCCAGTGAGATATTAAGTGCAAAATTTAACTTAGTGCAAAGGTGCAATGAAATAAACCTTATTATAAATAAATATATACCTTAGTACAATCAATTCATATTACAAAAAAAACGTGTATCAAATTAGTCAAAGAGTCATATGCGCAAGTGATGAAATAATAAAGTGAGTCCAATCTATTATTAAATCCAATTGTATATAATATATTGATGATGAAAAAAAACTCCAAAAAGGTGCTTAAATGTCTTTCTCCCACACCATGTGTTCACTACAAACTCCCCTCTGGGGTGCGCACTCACCAAACCATTATTGTTTGTAGGCAATAAGAAGATGAGAAACAGATACACGGTCCCAGCAAACGTCCCAGCAGTGTCCCATGGGTCCCATGGGTCGATGTTTAGCGAGAATTAAAAAAAGGAAACTCCTCATGGTGTAGTCGATATAAGCATTTATTTTAAAAAAGTACAAACTTACAGTTTTAAACGAAAAGCTCGTCCGTTCACAGGCAGCGTGTGGATATCCTGTACTTCCTTGTTGTGCGTGGTATTGAGATGTGTAGCCCCTCCCGACGCGTTTCGTCATAAGTGACGTCTTTAGGGGGGTTGCATGTACTTATGACGAAACGCGTCGGGCGGGGCTACACATCTCAATACCACGCACAACAAGGAAGTACAGGATATCCACAAGCTGCCTGTGAACGGCCGATCTTTTCGTTTTAAACTGTAAGTTTGTACTTTTTTTAAATAAATGCTTATATCGACTACACCATGAGGAGTTTCCTTTTTTAATTCTCGCTAAACATTCTCGCTAAACATCGACCCATGGGACACTGCTGGGACGTTTGCTGGGACCGCGTATCTGTTTTTCATCTTCTTATTGCCTATTATTTTGTCTGGTTCTTTATGAACTGGCTGAAATTAGCTGACTAGGTGGCCCTGTCGGCAGCATTCCATCCAGCATCTTTTGATCAGAAATGGAAGGAGCCGGTCAGAAAATTTGGCGGCGGACACTGACGACAGCTAACCCACTGTTTTCAAAATACAATAGCCCAGTGCACAATTTGTCCATCCATGCTACTTATCTGTTATATAATTTTTGTTCAGCCCGCAATTTGAAGGAAAACATGTAACAGTGAATGGCCAGCTTTTCCATCCAGCATCCACCAAGCACTAAAATATCAGTTTTAGGCATACTGTCCCTTTACCCCTCTTTTCCTAAGCTAACACACAAACATGTAGTTATCATCATATACTTATGCAGCAAAATTAATTGTTCAACTATAATGATTCTATACCCATATATACTGCCTAAATCACAGCACATCAAATCCAACCCAGTGGGTCCCAGACAATGTCAAGAACTTATTCACACCTTACCTGTTGCTATGTAGTTTCACACAATGCCCATCTGTGCGGTGCCATTCACCTGTATTGTGACTCCTGCCCCCATTTATATCTGCTTGGTTGGTGTCACATGAGATTAGTGAGAACATTAGCCAAGACTCTGGATAGATAAACATTAATGATGATGCAGAACACCGAGATCCAACAAACTGCCGGGTTGTTTAACTCTGCAGCATTTGTGAAACCTCGTAATACCAGTTTTAGGTAGACTGAGCATATTATGTGAGTAACTTCATAACATTAGACATGTTGTATCGTACATCTTTTATAACTGGCTTTTTCTGGATTTTATCTGAGCATATAAAGAGCCGCATTTATTGTGAGGACTACTTGTGTAAAAACAAAAATAAAAGAACTGTCCTATTAATACTTATATGCATGTGGTACAGACATCACACATGTCACACGCCCTTTTATTATCAATGAATGAAAGAACGCACCTGCCTTATGTTTGACCACACAGGGCATCATACGTTTCCATATCTGTGCATTGCGGTGAGCTAAAGTGCAGGTGCGTTTCTTGTAAATAAATGGCAGTGCACTGTAGTGCACATGCATTCACAATGGTGTTAGTGTGAATGCACCCCAAGGTTCTTCCTTTCTGTGTAAGTGAGATTGGTGCTAAGTTTAGAGGCACCCTGCATTTTTTGGTGTAAGGACTACAGCACCAACTCAGTAACCAAACAGCACTATAGATTATTTTTGCTCAACCGTATTTAGAAGGGACTTTGCACTAAAATGCAAGATCCGTCTTTCTGGCTGTCCCCCACCTCCTGTGATCAAAACTCTGCATTACAGATATGGAAAAAAAAATTGTGGATTACTAGGCAGGGTAATGTCAGTGGGTCTTTTTAGAGGTTTTTTTATGAAAAGTTGGGGATCCCCAATCCAATGGTAACATGTTGCTTTACAGTATAGTAGCGTCCTTTCCTGATAATTGGGATCCCAAGCAACTGTTCATCTACTAGCTTAGAGAAGGAAGGAGAGGGGGCCAGGGAGGAGGGAAATAGCTTGATTGCTGTATCTGTGTGTTTGTGGAGACACACACAGCTTACTAGCACACACAAGGGTGACTGCATAGCACTCTGCTTGAGAAAGGAGTCACTCTAAAACAGGAAGTCAGGACCAGTGCTCAGGGGAAAAGCTGGTTATACTAACAGGGTTATTCACAAAGCTGCTAAGCGCAGCTGAGTGAATAACCGAGCCGAAGTGAACAGAGCTTAGCAACGTTTGTCTATTCACTCGGGCTCAGTACGGCTGATTTCAGACGCACATCGGCTGCCTTCGGTCAGCCTGGGGAGAGCCAAAGTGCAGAGGGACTTCGGCTCAGCCGATCCAACATCTGGATCAGCTGAGCCGAAGCTCTGGCAGCTCACTTGTTGTCGTTCAGCCCTATTCACATAGGGGCCAAACGGCAGTGAGTGAATAGCCGAATGCCGCTCAGCTCTGCTATTCTGCTCGGTACCTCTGAGGTACCGAGCAGAATAGAAAATCAGTGAAAAGAGTGAAAAAAAAGTTGAGAAAATATTAAAACAATTTAAACAAATAGTAAAATTAAAAAATAAAGACATAAAAAAAAGAGTAACAATTGGGCGGAGCTAGCAGTAACAGCTAGCTCTGCCCAACTGTTTCCTATCGGCCAGCACCTGCTAGAGTCTTCTAGCAGGTCCCGGCCAATGAATAACAATAGGGCGGCCGTGAAGCTTGTGGGTGGTTTAATGTGTGTCTGGGGATTACTCTTGCACTCACTACACAGTGCCATACATTACACAATCCTGAAAGCTCCACTGTGTTAAGCACGCCTAACTTCTTCACTCTTTACTCTAGAAGTGTAGAACTGGTTGGGAATAATGTACAGCACAGCATATAAGTTGCAGTGGTCATGCAGCAAACAGTTTATGCTACACATTCCTGATTCCATAAGTCTGTATTCCGTGGTGTACAGTAAAGTGTATCACCACTTTTGCAGTCAAATTTGAGGGAAAAAAATCCTCTATATATTCTTGTTATGTGTTCCTATTTCAGCAGCATACCGAAAAAAATTGTATGATAGGCTGTCATTTAATACATCTGGCCCCTGCACTCTGTATGTTGGAGTGTGTACAATACATACACCTCCCCTAAGCACTGTACACTTTATGCTGTACGTTACATAATCCTGGCCCCTGCACAATGTTTGTTACATACACTACTTCTGACCTCTGCACTCTGTACACTATATACTCCTGACCCCCTACACTATGAACACTGCAGGTGAGACTCGAATAATTAGAATATCGTGCAAAGTTCATTTATTTCACTAATGCAACTTAAAAGGTGAAACTAATATATGAGATAGACTCATTACATGCAAAGCAAGATAATTCAAGCCGTGATTTGTCATAATTGTGATGATTATGGCTTACAGCTCATGAAAACCCCAAGAACCCCAAATCCACAACCTCAAAAAAGTAGATTATTACATGCAATCAATAAAACAAGGATTGTACATAGAACAATATCGGACCTCTGAAAAGTACAAGCATGCATATGTACTCAGTACTTGGTTTGGGCCCCTTTTGCAGCACTTACTGCAATTACTTTTGCACGATATTCTAATTATTCGAGTTTCACCTGTATATTGCATGTATATACTCCTGACCCCTGCACTTCAGATGCTATATTGTATGTTACATATTCTTTATCAAAATGTTTATTGTCCTAACATATGCTGGTTACTAAGTATTCCCTGGTTATTTTTAAGAGATTATACTTTAATTTTTACCAGTGTACAGGAACAGTAATGTGTTATATATGTAACAATGTAATGCAATAAAAGAAAAGCAGTATGTCAGTTTTTATCATTCTGAGATGTAGGCTGGTTGCTGGCTCTCTTTTATCTTTGTAGGATCTCGTTAGCTATCTTCTGGTAGGGGACAAACTGACTGTAGTTGTTTAGCAAAAACATGTCAATGTTTTGTAATGATTAACTCCATTACAAAGACTAGAGGCCACCACCTAAAGTTGGTGGAGAAAAAATTCCAGCGCAATGGGCGAAGAGGGTTCTTTACAGTAAGAGCGGTTAAGGTCTGGAACTCACTGCCATCGGCAGTGATTTCAGCCAAGAGTGTAGATTTGTTCAAGAAACGTTTGGACAATTTCTTGAGGGCCCGTAATATCCAGGGATACCAGTATCCCTAAGAATGAGATGATGTGTGGACCTATATGGGTTGGACTTGATGGACGTATGTATTTATTCAACCCCAAATACTATGTAACTATGTAAACTGTCATCTGGGTCCACCAGAGCAGCAGTTCCCAACCTTTTTTTCAGTGACCGCACCCTTTAAAAGTATGCAAAATCTTGGGGCACTCCAGTCTAAAATGTCAAAAACATGTGACACCTCCAAAATCTATAGCATACTCTTATCCCAGAGGTAAAGTAGTCAGGGCTAGTGCTAGACTATTTTGCACCCTAGGCAGGACCCGCTACTTGCACCCCCTCCCGTGGCGCAACCCCCAATCCCCCTCACCCCGTGCAGCCCCATTCTCCTGCGGGTTAGCTTCTACAGGCGACAGGTGGATATCATTTTAAATAGCCAATAGCAGACTGGCTATTGAAACCCCACCCACTGAGCAGAAGAGTGAACCTGAGAGAGAAAGTTGTCTCTCAGTTAAGTTCCTCTGCTCAGTGGCCGGGTACAATAGCCAGCGTGCTATTGGCTTTTACAATTGCAAATAGACGTGGAGGCACCGTGGGGGGTGAATGGTTAAGGCTGCACCCTAGGTAGCAATGCGCCCTAGGCAGCAGTGCGTCCTAGGCGGCTGCCTATTTGTAATGGCCTAGTGGCAGCAACGGGCCCTGCTGGTAGTAATTTTAAACACACACAATCCCCCTTCAAATCAGGAGCCCCATCACATCAGAATCCTGCCTTTCACATCAGAGTGCCCATTTACATCAGGAGCCCCCGTTACATCAGGAGCCCACCATTCACATCAAGAGTCCTCTTCCCATGAAAAGCCTCCTGTCATATCAGAGTTGCTCCTGCACATCAGAAGCCTGTCTGCAATCATGCATGATGCTGTGCCGAAATTTTAAGGCACCCCTGAGGAAGGCAGAAAGCACCCCATGGTGCCATGGCACCCTTGTTGAGAAAGGATGCTGTACAAAATCATTTTAGTGGTAACGGGCAAACATCCTACCCGTACATTCCTTTTGTTTATTTTTCTTATTATTGAACTTTGTTGGGTGGAAGGAGTTTATGTCAAATTACTTTTAAACAAAGGTCTTTCTGTAATCACTTCAGCTGTTAGGGTTAGTTCACACCATATGCAGTGCGTTCCGGTCCGATTCTGGCCGGAACGCATTGCATCGCATTCTGGCCGACTCACTTTTTTGTGGGGCAGGAGGGGGGTGTGGCGGGCCATTAAAGTAAATGGCACCGTAGCCACGCCCTCCGGCTGCAATGCGATTGCCCGCACGAGATCGCAAGGGTCATTGTGTCTGCGGTCCGGTGCGATCAAAATGCTGCAAGCACTATTTTGATTGCACCGAACCGCAGGCACAATGTGCCTTGAGATCCCAATGCAGGTGATCACATTGTGGCCGGAGGGCGTGGCTAGGGTGCCATTCACTTCAATGGCCCGCCAAGCCCCCTCCTGCCCCACAAAAAAGTGAGCTGGCCGCAATACGATGCAGTGTGTTCCGGCCAGAATCAGACCGGAACGCACTGCATCTGGTGTGAACGTACCCTTAGACCAGCATGCCCCTTAAAGAACAGAACTTTTTTTTACGATTTTGCTATAATCTTGTCTATTAGGAGATAACTTTGCCATTAAACTCCAACAAAACCCTGTGGAAGTAAAATTACTGTTGGTTGCTTTTTACTGTAGAAGAGACTCTAAGGGGGCTATTTATAAAGCAGTTAATGTGCCTTTTTTCTAACATTCTCTAGGGGAGATTGAATCACGACCATTTAAAGCACATGACTCTGGATGATTCTCCACTAGATAATGTTTAGAGAAAGTCACATTCTCTGCTCTATAAATAGAGCCCTATATGTCTATTTTGCAATCAAAGCTCCTCTTCTGAAAGACAGCAATATTCCTTCTGAATGTGCAGCTCAGTGAACATTCTCAGCATGCCTTTAGTGCCAGAATGAATTAGTTCCCATGCGCATAGCAATAAAGATGGCTGAAGAAGCAAAGACTGGAAGGTGACTGGGCAAAGATGTTAGCATTAATGATAAAGGGAACGGGGCTGCTGAATTGCTGGAGGGGATCGTTTTGGCAGCCAAGTTTGTAATGTGAAAATGTGTGGAAAACTATTAAACATTAAAGCAAAATCCTTGAATGTACTATGTAATCCATAGACCATAAGTCCTTGTTCACACCTGAGCATTTTTACGCGCGGATAGAAAATGCATGAAACACACATTTCAATGCAAGTCAATGGCGACTGCTCACACCTTAGCGTTGCGTCGTGTGTCCAAAAATGCCTGTCGGGCAAAAAGATGCAAGAGCTATTTTCAGGCAGATGCCTTGTGGTTTTGGTCCCATAGACATCTCTATGCAGGGAGAAACAAGCGTTTTGAAAGCAAGAAACGTGCCAAAAAAAAAAGATCAAAAACCGCCCGAAACCGGTAATGCCTAGGTGTGCACCTAGCCTAAAAAAAATCCCATACCATCCAAGAATAAATAAAACAAAACTCATTTAGCTCCATCTAGTGGCCATAATGCAATATTACATCAAAGCACTGGCAATTTCTGTATACTGTATGTGCTGTTTTGCACTACGTGTATATATTTCTTGTTCTCGTTGTGTGATTATATGAGACTTGAAAAGGCACTACCGTATCTCTCTTTCCTGAAGAAGCACGTTGAGTTTCATTTACATCTTAACATGTGCTGCATGTTTAAAAATTGTAACATGTATTACAAAACAAATCCCAGGT